CAAAATCAATACAAAGATCAGGTTCATGTATCACCTTAAAGGACACAAAATATCCAACTTATCAAATGTAGATTCCCAAACAAAGGAATAATTTCTCTTGTCTGTCTACTGTAAAATATATTTACTGTATTTCTTATGGTAAGTCAGCAAGAGAAATACTAAGCAGAAAATGTGATGCAGTTACTAAAAATGACACAGTTTTCATTTCTCTTACATGATTAGAAAACCAGCCTAGGAACTGGTTTTAATTTCCTTTTACTGGAAGAACCCACTATTCACTGCTGGTTTAGAGATGTCTTTTTCCTACGTAACTGGGAAGTTAAGATATCAGTATCGTTGCTCAGCACACTTTTTTTTTTTTTTTTTGCAATATTGTAGAATTCTCTGTATTTAAAATGTCATTCACATTTAATAATCCCTAATTCTTGCTTTTATATACTTTTAAATAAGTACATTGTTTGCATAGAAAATGTAAATATTTATAAAAGACATATAGTTCCTCAGGTTTTACCTGGCTGGAAAACTGTTCATTAAAAACATTATCTCACAGGAAACCAAATAATATCAGTCATTCTTTACAGTAAATTAATCTAGATAAATAATTTTAGCAGTGCTTTGCTTTCCACTCTATCACAGCTTCACACAAACAACGGCACTGTGAAAATTGTAAATTATTTTTGTAACGTTTAAATAAAGTACAAAATATTCAAACAACTTATTAACCCAGAGAACAGCACCACTTTTGGGTAAGGTCACATTTAAAAGAAAGATTGATACTGTTTTATCTCCATTACATGTGAATGGTTCACACGAAAATGCTACTCTTGTATCCCCTGTATTTCCCAGAACATAAGACTTGAAACATTTTCCGAGTTAAATGACAGATCTCATTCAATAATGGAGATTCGGTGGAAATCAGTGGCAAAACTCCAGTTGGCTTTAGGATTTCAGGCTCAGGCCCCAGCTTGTTCAGCTATACAACATTTATGCCACTATAAGCATATACAACTTATTGAAAAATACAGTAGCATAAATCTGAGAGCATATTAGGTATTCTTTGCTTTCAGTTATATCACAGCATCTCTTTGTAAAATGTTCAAGCAACAACAATCCCTATAAAAGCATTGACTGTTAAACCAAAAAACCCAACAAAACAAATGAAAAGATGAAGCTTTACAGTCCCAGTGAAGTCACCTAATAAGATGGATTAACCCAATTTTATTTTTGAGCCCTTCAAACAATGAACAATCTTGTAAGATATAATTGCCACTGGATGACATAACTACAAAAAAGGATAACATACTTTGGACTGTCTGACAGGTTTGGAAGATTATCTTCTCCAATGTAAACCTCCGGTCAAATCTCAGCAACAGTAAATCTAATAAACTTTACTAAGACCTTTAACTCTTTGTTGTGCCTTTGCTTGACTTTAAAATACATATTTATGTAAAGTTTCCATGTATTTCTTTGAGATACAGTTTTAATTTTACAACCCCTGGGTAACTTCCAGGGATTTACGTTATTAATTAACACCCCACATGCTAATCAACACATCCACCTCAAATTGTTAGAAAATAACATGCAATTTCATCTGAAGGTAAGTGGCATGGACCTGCCAGCAAGCAGGGGAAATAACCTGCTCTTGGAACAGTGCTGGAACAACATGCAGATCTGAACATCTCTATTTACCGCAACTTCTCTGAATTCTCTCTGTAGCTCACATATAGGGCTAAGAACATTCTTACCAAGCTGAAGTGGTCAACTTCTCTGCAAAACCTGCCTTGTGAAGAGTTATCATTAAATGTGTCCATTCACAGTTAAAACTGAATACAGTACCAGACACTATTCAAAAAACATTCTCTATAAAGCTGTTTGCACATACAATATACAGAAAGACAGTGACAGGGCAGGTTTATGTCTATGTAGTAATGTATTTATAACACTATAGAAGAGAAACAGATATGTTTGAACAACCCTTACCCTGCCCTCTGCACCTCCAGCTGGCTTGTCCACCTCCTCCGCCTGTGCTTTCTGCTTTCCACAAGAAGAACTAAGCAAAAGATTAATAAAAGGAGTTTTGCAAAAGAAGGCATCTTGCTGGCAGGAGGAGCAGGGCACTCTGTACTCCAGTAACCTCCTCTAGTACAAGTCCCCCCGGGTTTAAACATTGAATCGACTCCAATTCCAGCGTCGCGTGTTCGTCGCCGATCGGGGACAGAAACGCTGCTTTCCCGTGATGTTTTCCACAGGCTTTCAAGAGCTTCTCACTCAAAGCTTTTCCCTCATCACTGCTTAATGACTGGCCATTACTCACCAAGTTTACCTCAGCAGACATTTCCCCTGGGTCCTAAAGGATATTTACTAAAGCCATTATATAAAAACCCGCAATTCTGCATGCCAGCTTTTTGCTCAATCCTCTAATCTCAGGACAGCGCTATCCTTCTGCCAGACTGTGTACAACCGGGCTGTCCCTTTTCATTACGCTTTCCAGATTTTCTGCTCCTTCACACTGCATCTTTTTCAACTGGAAACCACCTATGCCATGTTTCAGGCATATAGATCATTGTAAAATTTACATATTTTGATGGTTTTAGAGTAGTCGAGATTTTATTTTCCAGTTTAGTCTGGCTCTTTATGCTGTTGAGGAGAAAAGATGAGCTCTTTCCTCTGAAAATGATTATTTACTGTTAACTTTTAAAGCAAAATTAAAACTCAGTAACCCCCAAAGTATCTACACATGCAATAGACTGTTCACAAAAATCAAGTCACCATTAGTATTTATTTTTTCAGATAGGTATTTGCACAATCAAGCATTTTAACTTTTAAAATAAAAGTCTGAAATACAAAAGAAAAGCTAAGAAGCAGCTATTTTTTTAATCACAAGGAAGAAGCTGTTTTCAGAAAAACCATTCAAGGGCAACGTAGATTGCCTCCTTGCAGAAGACTCGGCTGCTCTGCCAATAGCCAGTGCGTGGCACAGGTACGAGGGCAAAAGTTTGCTTGGCACAGCAGTGAGGCTCTAGGAAAATAAAAGCACATTCAGAGCAAAGCTTCCAGAGGAGTAGGCAAGACAAAACCCCTGCAAAGTTGTCTTTTGGGTCACACCTCTTCGAGAACTCTCTTCTGTGAGCCCAGGTTTGCAATACTCGAATAGAACAGGTATGGAAGCAACATACCAACTAGGAAACACAGTACTTTTATTTTAGAGTCTACAGGATCTGGAGAGAGAGTTTTGGTGTCAGGTTTTTTTGTGTTTTCTGTGGGTTATTTTAATTTCTAACGAAATAAACATATGAATTAGGGGAAAACACATAAATTAATAATACATTGACATCAAATTGTTCCACAGCAGAATGCTGAACTGGCTGAACAAACCACATACTTTTGGCTGAACTTCTTAAGAAAATTGTTTTTGATCTTTGTTCCATTTTACCTGCAAATAAGATTATCAACAATCCACAAGAAGTGCTACAAAAGAACCCAGGGTTTGGGGTTTTTTTAACTTCCACATTCCCCTTAGACACACAATGGCCATTCACTATTTTAGTAGTTGTTATAGCTACTTTAATGTTTCAAAACACTAACATACTATCTTTTAAAAAATCTAGCAAAGATGGAGGTAGCTTGATAAATACTTGCTGAGAAACAGGATGAGAATCTCACTTAAGTCCATGCTATCATGTTTGACAGCAACAAAGTTAGCTAAATTTCACTGTCTTTGAAATAAACATGCTAGAATACATTTAAATATGAATAATAACACAAGAGGAAAATTATCCCACTGATTGCTTTCTTGTACTGCAACACGTAAACATTCACAGACAAATCCTCTCAAAATCCTAAGAATTGCAGTTCTATTGCTTCGACACGTGATTTCACAGGATTCGTGAATATTACCAGTTATTTTTCAATAAACTAATAATACAGAAATACTTTGGGTCCAATATTCATCTTAGGTTAAAAAAAAAAAAACAAAAAAACCCCAAAAAACCAGAACACTGAAACAAAAAAGCCCCACAAATAAAAGCCAAAAGGCCACGTGATACCTGAAACGTAACAAAAGAGTGGCTTGAAACAGTTTATTACTACCAGGTTTTAATAAATATTTCTCTTAAGCATGTTCATATATATGAGAGTTTAAGCATAATAAGGTTTAAATTTTCTTTAGTAAATAAAACCACATATGAAACATTCAGATCAACACATTATGTATATTTCTGGTATAATTAAAAGACAATAGCTCTGGGTAAATAATTATATTACATATTTATAACTATTACAAGAACAGACATGTTTTATATAATCTTCAAATTAAAAAAAAAAAGCCCAAGATATACAATTGAGAGTATTAGAAGAGGACATTCAAATCTTGCAAAAGATTATCCAATCTTTCTTCCAAAAAACAAAAATCGAAATAATGCAAGTAGTTTTCTGGCCCCATCTTTTCTCCCCTATTTCTTTCCCCCCCTTTTCACACACACAAAGCAGCATCACAAGCAGTTAGTATATGTTCCCCCTATAGAAATGTGTAATGGTAAATAGAAGTGGTTACAAAACTGCCTCCCCTCTAAATTAAGAGTTCACCGGACACAAACACATAGAAGTGTTTCATTTTATAATTCCTTCTCCAGTGTCAAATCTTATACTAACTTAGGTGAGGTGATTAATTGCATTTATGTTCCATAAAAAAGTGAATCAACCACTTTAAGTCGTCATTTTCTAGTTGATAAATTATCAAATTTACTCCCTTCCCACGTGCCTTAATGTTACTATTCCACTGCACCGTTTCTCCAAGTATCTAGTGGGCACTCAGCTAACGCTTGTTGTAGTTAAACGTCCAACTTTACTTTTCTTACAAGTAACGTATCTGTAGGTACATTAACATTCATAAGGATTTAAGCGTAAATACAAAAAGTAATCTTTGTAAACAGTTCTCATGTCATATCCATACAGAATGTTCAATGAAGCATTCCAGTCACAGCTGTTAATGACAAACAACGTTATAACTCAAATACATACTCATTAGCCAAACATATTCTACGAAATATAAGAGCTGCCAATGCAAAAGTCAGAAGGACAATCAGAACAGTTGATCCAGTGTGGTTCATGTTGACTCTTGGTTGCTGTACCCGGTTAAAGTCGGTTGATGATGGAGGCCGTCTCTGATTCTGCTGCTGGGCACGGCGCTGACGAGGACTCATAGACGTGTTAGTGGACACAGGCGGGGTACGCTCTGGGCTGGCCGCTGCACTGCTATTTGGAGTTTCAGACTAAAAAGGAAACACGGAGAGTTGTGAGGCAAGACAGTGAATAAGATTAGCAAGGAATAAAATAATTAGGACTAAAATGCACTCTTCAGATAATTGTTAATACTTGAAAGCCTGACAATACACGTCACTAGTAACTAGCAGATCATTAGAGCCATGATTTTTGTCCATACGCTATCTTGAGAAGTCAATTTCAAACTGCAAATTAGCAGTTCTAAAGGACAAAGTCTGAAGAAAGTCTGTCAAACAATACTTGAATTACAGATTGCTTCCAAATAAAGAGATTTCAAATATCTTTGTCTAGGATTTGCTTAACTCATTGCAGCTCAAGAAATCTTTAATAATCCTCCAGATAGTTAAGTCTCTGAGAATTTGTAATGTCACCTATACTGAAGAGGAAAAACATTGGAGAGGGCAAGGAAGGAAGGAGAGCAGTCCAGAGAACTCTAATTAAGCAATTCTGCACTGCTTCCTGGGGACACTGGGGTCCAAAAGTCTGTTCTCATCACCACCACCAAACACTGGAAAAAACAAAATAAAAACCCTTAACAAAGAACACCCAAGCGATTCCAGCACAGATTACTGAGCACTGTACCTACGCATGCACATACCTATTGCCCTCTACTGGTGAAACATCGGTCTGCCATTATATGTACTAAAAAAATAAACACTGGCAACTGATGTTCAGCTCAGGAGAGTATTACTCTAAAGAAAATTACTTTTCAGTTTGTAAGATTGAAACTACAGGTTCTGATATTCCACTGGCCTAATCCTCCTTCCAATACTGGAAGGGTCACACTTACAATATTTTAATATTAAAAATAGCGACACAGCACAGTTGTTGAAAATAAACATTTTGACAAGGTTCAATTTTAAAGTGCTCTAAAAAAAAAGTAGTTCTGACAAATTCTTTTCGCTTCTCCGAACAGTTTGCAGGTATTCCCACTTAAAGCAACCTGCAGCTATTTCCCAGAGATAACTTTCCTTTCCTGCTCCTGCCTTCTAAAATACTGACTATCATTACAGCAGGTAAAACTAGAATTCTGGACATTTTAGATTTTCTTCTAAGCAAAAGACACAATATCCATAACCCTAAGCACTGTTTTGGCCAGCTACTATATCCACAAAAGATATCCTGGTAGGGAATGTCCTCAACTGTGCACCAGGTTTGATGATCAACAAGACATAAGTAGTACTTGGTCCCGTGACTCTTTGGCCACTTATTCTGCATGTGGGAGAAGAATTCCAAATTTTCACCTAGTCAGTGATTTGTCTAGCCCAGGGAAAAGTCCTTCCTTTCCTACCTCCCCATCATCAGTATTTCCCACTGTTTATTATCAGCAAGGAACTACTGATGTAATTACTTGCCACATTTGACAACTTGCTTATTCACACAGGTTTCTTGCCTAACCAAGCAAGCAGCTTGGGTAGCTTCAAAGAAAAATGTTTTAAAAACATTTATTTTATCAGCAGAGACAGCCAAGAACACCATGAGCAGCTTGCCAGGATTCCTACTACACTGCAGAAGGAAGTCATTCTGCTTCATACTGAACCCCCTGAAAAGCTCCTCATGCCAAGGAAAATAAAGACTTAGGGAAGCTGAGCCTTTGAAAAATGAAGTTCCTAGATTCATCTGTACTCCCATCTTTCAGAAGGGGAGAAGAAGAGAAGCAAATTCAGGAAACAAGAACTGCAAATTCAGCCTGCAAAGTGTTATTCTTAAAGTAGTTTTTTCAAAAAAAAAGGGAAAAATATTCCTGATCCTTCGTACTTACTAACAAAAGTAACTAGCACTGGCTGTCACATACCTGGGTTTCTTCCCAACACCGCAAATTTTTAATTCAAAAATAAAACAGAAAGGCCCTGTTTTGAATGAGACAAGGTGCCATGCACTGACATGAAGAGAGCTGTGATTCAAGAGAAACCTCACTGACAATTGCAAGGCTTAAATTTTTTTTTTTTTTTGGGGGGGGAGGAAATCCCATAGATGCACCAGGGCAGCAGAAGACTGACTGCTTCACCCACAGCTGAGCTAACTTACTGCCTTGGGATTCCCAACATAATCAATGACCAAGTATTAGCAGACTTGCAGAAGCAAGTAAGTTAAGAAAGGAGTGATTACCCGATATCATAGAGAGTCTACTGTATCTTTAATATATACATCTAGACAGATTTTTTTTTTTAAAGACTTAACTGCTAAGAAGCCCCAAAATGGCAGATTGTCTGTATTATAAATTAACAAAATCACAATTTTCTTGTCTTCACCTACAGCATGTTTTTAAATTCTCCTTAAGCAAAAACGTCAAGATTTTTAGACTGCTCATGGAACACCTTGCATTACACAATTTCCATCCAATTTTAAGTTTTCTGCCAAACCATATTGGAAATGTTGGAGATGAGGGCTTAACAGACTAAAAATAATTAATAAGAGCTACACTGTAGCCACCTTCAGCATCTGATTTTTACAGTTATTGAATATGCACTTCATGCGTCATATTATTTCTGAAGCAACTGAAACTGTTAGGACTGGAAGAAAACTTTGCTCCAAGGACTGAGTTTGATGAATAAGACTAGTTTAGTAAAATGTGCATATATTAGAATTAACAGAGTTCTATTGTATAACAAAATGCAAATAAGAAAGTTTACACTATGTTCAGCCTACTGAAGAATGGCAGTACTCACTGCATCATTTATGTCTCCTGGATGTTATTTTAACATTTTTTTTTTATCAGAATTCTGGAAGGATTAAATAATCATCTTAGAAGGGATGTTTTAAAAATATAGCAAACTCTAGGAACTCAGAACCGTATAAATCCTCTGGCTTACTGAAGCCTCTTTCAGTTATACTCATGATCTCAGAAACAAGAAAATACAAGGATAGGTGAAATAATGGTTTGTCTGTGTAACTTCCATCTGAAGAACAGCTGAAGTCTGACACAGCACGACTTAATGGCTACTAAGAAAAATGTCTATTTTTCAATCAGAGTTGGGCCAAGCACTCATAATTGTCAAGACATTTAAAAAATTGTTGCTGTAGTATTACAAAACTTAAGACACCACTTATTAGTGATAAAAGGAAACACTTTTAAACAACATATCATTCAGAACACATGATTAAAAATAAGGACTTCTATAAATCTCAAGTATCAGAACACAGATCCATTTTCTCACAGAAACCTCCCTCATCAGTTCAAGATTAGTTGACTTGTTACACTGTTTATTTCATCACTCCTCATTAAAACTCCTCATCCAGCCAATATACTAGTGCAGGACACTGCTATAGTACAAAAATCTGTAAGGCTAAAGTACCAAATAACACAACAGTTCACACTGAGAGCAGTGCTGTTAATTTAACAATTGCCATTGCTAAAACACAAACTACTATTTCAAACAGAAACACCTATTTCCAATTGAGTTTTGAAATCTAAAAAAATACGCTTTACTGAAATACTGTAAGTCTTGGTGCTTCTTAAGTCAGTGAGGCTATATTCACTTCCTAAGAGAAAGCTGACAGAAGGGAAAGTTTACTCAAAATATCTTTTCTTCTGATAGAATGAGAAATTCTCTCTTCAGGAACAAGGCTCTGTGTGGAAGAGGGCTCAAAGCAATGCCATGCCAGAGACCCATTTCAGCGTGCTCTTCACAAGAATTCAGTTCAACCTCGCCCAGGAAGGACAACACTGTACTCACAACTGTCCCACCACTCAGTCATTGCAAAAATCTCTGTCCTTTCCAGCAGCTTTAAAGGCAAAAATCATGGAATAGATAATTGTTGCTGGAAAGAAGCAGCTAATATTCAGCATGGGGTCTACCTCTGCACTTTTTGTTCTCAGCATAAATTTCAAGTTCAGAACAGCAAATTTTCTATAAGTTTTAATTAAACACACATTTGTAGAGTAAGTGGTAAAGATTTTATCCAAGAAGAGAAAAAAAAAATTAGTTTTGATGTTGCCCACATTTAACACAACATAGTAAGGTAGAATTAGGTCTCTACACAACAAGAACTAACCCAAGAAACTGATTTTACACACGCAAGAAGCCCATCTGCGGGGAAAGGGTCTGAGGTTTGTGTGGATACCCTTTCGTGCCTATCAGCAGATCACGGCCTCCAGTCTCCTACTTTAAGAAGATTTATATTAACTTTCACATGAATAAGAACACCAAAATAGCAAACTCAAAATCTTTAAGATAGTCTTTCCTGTTACACATTTGTCCTGGTTTTGGCTGGGACAGAGTTAACCCCTGCTAGCCACGGGTAAAACCATGACAACATTTCTTTCTTCTACTGTGGGGCTCTTAGCTTGCACTCCCCCATGGCTCCAGAAAATTCCTAACACTTGAAATGTGGCAGCTCAGAAACACAGGTATTGTTTCAAATTCAAACTAACAACCATGAGAGTGACAGTCTGATCCCTTAAAATATGAATCCACTTTTCATCATTTACAGTTTATCACATATAAATATTTTTACATACATTTCTGTGTTTAAAGGTCTCATTTCACATGGGACTGCTGAAAATTAAGTTAATCATTACTTATTAAAGCAGCATAATTGATTAAAACAAATTTCTTGGAAATTAGATTAATTTAAAAAAAATCAGTCTCTTTTTCCTCAAGAAAATGCTAACAATGCCTTGGTATTCTGGCTAGTTCTACTATATTAGCCAGGATTTGTAATAAGAAGAATAAAACAGAATGGTTTATTAAATCCTGAACAATCTGGAAAAATCCCTATTGTGGGAAAAAAGTATGCTATTAGCATGTTTATATTTCTACATAGCTTGAAAATATGTTGGAAACATGCAACAGATGGTCTGACGTTATTTGACGTGGTTTAGTTTTCTTAAATGCTCTGCAGCCCCATCCTCCCTAAAAAAGACAGCTTAGCTGGGATTTGCCTGCAATTTATCAGTGAATTTAGATTGCATTTGCCCCAGTCGTAACAGCAGCTGCCTTGGCCCACCACCAGGCCTCGGTCACTTCCAAAACCATTATGTAAGCCCTACACCTAGCAGCATTAAAACGTGTCATACTTCAAATGGTAAGAATATTTTAGTCAGATTTACTTAAGAGGTTATAAAAAACAGGAAGTATCCTTAATATTTAAAAGCTACTAATTATCACAAACATTTTTTGCCTCTGGCTAAGCATTCTATTGCAAAAACTTGTGATATGAAGATTTACTCAATGGCTAGAACAGATGTAGTACTTAAGACATCAGAATATTTTAATTAACTGTTAACCCCTCCATTAAAGGAACTACCAGGAACAAGAATTGCCAAAAGAACATTACTTATTGCTCTTAAGAGAAGGAAGTGAAAGCAAAGAGACCACAATTTCTAAAAGTGATTCAGCATGCTATTTGCTGAAGTTTACACATAGATTTGTAATAGAAATAGAAATGTATTAACTACATACTCTTAATGAAGCCTCCAATCAGCTTAATAGTAAAGAATTTCATGTTCAGACTATGCATGTACTTGGGCTGATAAAGCTCAAGGATGGACCATACCGTTGCACTTGCTGGATCCTGGAATGCTCTAGCTGCACTGTCCTGCTGGGGCTCACTTGAAGTAGCAGGGTGGTTCAATCCTGATGTGTTTGAGGGTCCAGCATCAGACTTCCTGGATGAATTGACTTCTGCCTACAAGGAGTACATATGTACGCTTCTGAGGCAAGATCAAAATTGCTCCAAAAAGATCTGGCTTATTTTGGAATGTGTATTTTAATTTATGCAGAACATGAGACTTACCAAAATGTAATAATCAAGTATGCCAACTGCATTTCAGTTACACATCAATAAGTTTAAGAAATTCTAATTCTTTAGAAATACGACTATAGATTTGCAAGCATCAGTTTAAAAAATAATTTAAGTTTGTTTGCACATAACAGCAGGCATAACGAATGCACAGATACATAGAGTCAAAAAGAAAATTCTTTAGAAGATCTAGGACAATATTATACCAGAAATAACACAATTTTTAAAAACTTCCGTTTCTGATGTCCTTAAGTGAATGTTGACTACTGCTGTTACAAGTGAACTAATCTATCCTGTTTCTCAGCAGGGCTAACTAGTCTCTGGTAAGTGCTAATTTAATGAGGCTATACTGGCTCTAGCACTGAAGCTGCCTCACAGCCAGAGTGCGTTGCACTACACTGTGTCGGGGAGACATACCTCAGTTTTCAGTGTTTAAATTTCAGCACAAGCAGAGCAAAAGAAAAAATACAAGTCTTATAATACTGCTTTTGTATTCGTTTATGAAATGCCTAATAGGTATCAATTCCCAGAATTTAGGTTTCATGCTTTTGGAAATTTGAGATAAGAGACCAGTAGTAACATATAGAAGATCATGAACAAACCTCTAGTTCAAATAGTATATATAGTTGCAATAATCCCTTGTGAATGGAAGAGGACATAGTATCATAGTCCTGAACTGAAACACTTTAAAATTTATTAAAAAAAAAAAAGAAGTCACGACCAGATCAATTTTTAATCAGCAAGAAAGTAATCTCCCAAATCACGTATCTACATATCAACTTAGTATAAAGATGGCAATTCCACATCTACCTAGTAAATACCTGTCTTCAAATACAGATATAAGTAGGGGTAGTAGCAGTAAGAAATACAAACAGTGCGTTAAGAAACCAAACAGTTCTGATGGTAACAAGCTGGTAAAATCACAAGCTAATATTGTTTCATGATAACATTTTGTGTGAGGAAATTAAATTCCCTGTTTCTTGATGTATATTATCTCGGGAGAATATGAAAATATGTCACTGAACAACCTGAAGATGAATTTAAGGTTTGAAACCACTTATAAACTGACAACACTCCTTTTGCACTTGACTATTACGAACTATAACATCAGAGAGGACAAGTTATGACTCAAATATGGACCAGAAACAAAGCAACACAGGATCATGAACAATTTAGGTTGGAAGGGACCTCTAGATGTCATCTGGTCCAACTCCCCCCTCAAAGCAGATGTTTAGTCGAGTTTTGAGCATCTCCAAAACTGGAGATTCCACAGCCTCTCTGGTCAGCCTGCTCCAACACGTGACAACCCACTGGATGAATTTTCCTTTTCCATGTCCAGTTGTAAGTACCGTCCCTGGAACGTGTGACCGCTGCTTTTCATACTTCTGCCTTTTCCAAGAAGAGTCATTTCATCTTTACTGTTAATCTCTATAAAGCATATACACTACAAAATGTGCATTTGATTTATTTTGGGTTACGAAAGTACTAAGTCTAGTATCCTAGACCAAAGTCACACTAACATCCAAAAAAATAAAGCACTTGAAAGGTCCCAAAGCTGAAATACCTGTTTTGTCACCTTGTCTCTCTTTTCTCTAGGCCTTATCTGGAGATAAGGTCTGTGGTCTCTTCCAGAAAAGCTGGAGAGAACACAGACCTCAAGGAAAGAGGAACAACATATTTTAACATAATAACAAGGATGAGTGGAGAATTAATTTTCCTGCAAAATATGCCTTGTGGTGGCAACATGTAGATAAACCATATTGTTTTACAGTAATGCATATACTATTAGTCATCTTTTTTTCTTTTAAGTGGAATGTAATTTATGTTCTATGGCACTTAAAATGCACAAAATAACTTGCAAGTCAATGTAAAGCTCATCAAAAACTTAATTTTCTATTAAAACAGACAGGAACAAAGGTGGAAGTTCACAGAAGCAAGAAAACTGTAATTAGGAAAATGATGAATGTTTGTGCAATTCACAAGTTTTTCCTCAATATTTTTTCTTTAATTCTGTACAATGGAGAAAAAAGTTTAAACAGTGACTTCACCTTGAAGCTAATTTGTTTGGCAAGTTCTTTAGCCTCCTTGTCCGCCTGGCTTGACACACTTCTGGATGTTAGTGGTAAGAGGGCTGTCTTCATAGATGTTCCACACATTTCACAACAGAAGTCTTGTGACCTGGCCACAAATGTCATAGCTCAGAATAGCATGTTTTCATAATGTTCTTGTGTGCTTTTTTAAACAAACTACTTGCAAAAAAATCCACAGAAAGACAAGTGGTGTCAAGATCAGTAGCTTAAAAGTACCTCCCCACCCCCAAATCACACTATCTTGAAAAAAATATGTTGAGAATGATCTATACTACAAATACATCTTCCCATGTAATTTAGGAAAATATTAACAACTGACTTACATATTGCTATTATCTATACATTATTAATAATTAGTTACCATTTTAAAAATTACTTTCTACCTGCAGCAAGTTAGAAGTGTAAATTATAGAGAGTTAAATACTATTACAAATATTGAATTGGACCCAGGAGCTTGCACCCCAAATCCTGGAATTTCTGCAAAAAGTATTACCTTTCCTCTCTTGCACACATAATTTGTCTGTAGGGCACACTGCAGGCAGCTCTCCAAATCAATAAGAAACCACACAGCCTTGACTGTACAGCATCAAGACCATCCACTAAACCCTACCTCTCAGCAGGGTTTGATTAGCTTTGACTCAGTGCCATGCTAACAGGAAAACTGCAGCTACCGACTGGCTCAGAATACAGGCAGAACAAGCTCCCATCTGCCTGCAAAATAAGGTACTAGTTACAATCTGGAATACAGTAACTTTGCTTATATGATAGGGATATGGTCTCTCAAGTACCTTCTTCTCCCCAAACGGGGAAAGGAGAAAGATTAAAAAAAAAAAAACACACAACAAAACACAAGTGTAAGATTTCATTTAAGGATAACTGCAGAATAGTTAAGGTTGGAAGGGACCTCTGGAGATCATTTAGCTCAGGGTTAAGCAAAGCATGATGCTCAGGTCAGTTTCTAGTCACATTTTTAACACTTCCAAGGGTAGAGACTCCACAACCTCTCTGGGCAACCTGTGCTAGTGCTTTGACCATCTTCACAGTAAAAAAGTGTTTCCTTGCATTCAGCTCGAATTTTGTGGGTTTCAGTTTGTGCCCATTGCTTCTTGTCCTGTGACTGGACACCACTGAGAAGAGCCTGGCTCTGCCTTCTTTATACCTTCCTTTCAGATATTTATACACATGGATAAGACCCCCTGAGCCTTCTCTTCTTCAGGCTGAACTCTCCCAGCTTTCACAGCCTCTCCTTGTATGAAACACGTTCCAGCCCCTCAATCACCTTTGTAACACCGTACTGGATTCACTCCAGTAAGTCCGTATCTTTCTTGTACCCTGACCCATACACAGCCTGACCTGGACCCAGCACTCCAGATGTCTCACCAGTGCTGAGTACAGAGGAAGGATCTCTTCTCTCAATCTGCTCGCAATGCTCTTCCTACCGCAGCCCAGCATACCATTAACCTTCTTTGCTGCAAGGGCACATTGCTGCCTCACAGTCAGCTTCCTGTCCACCAGGACTCCCAGGTCCTCCCCTTACAAGCTCCTTTCCAGCTGGTCAGCTGGTGTTATTCCTCCCCAGGGGCAAGATTTTACTTTTGTCTTTGTTGAACTTAATAAGATTCTTTCAGCCTGATGAGGTTCCTCTGGATGGCAGCAGAACCTTCTGGTGTCCCAGCCACTCCTCCCAGTTTTGTATTGTCTGCAAACTTGCTGAGGTTGCACTCTGCCACATCATCCCGGTCACTGATGACACTGAATAGCACTGGCCCCAGCACTGACCCCTGGATTACACCACTAGCCACTGGCGTGCAGCTGGACTTTGTGCTGTTTAGCACAACCCTTTGAGATAGGCAGCTCAGCCAGGTCTTAACCCACCTTACCGTCCCCACTTGCCTAGGCTGTACTTCGTGAGATTTTTCTATGAAGGTGGTAAGGAAGACAGTGCCAAAAGCCTTGCTAAAGTCAGGGGAAACAACATCCACTGCTTTCCCCTTGTCCACTAAGCTAATCATCTCATCACAGTCACAAATCTAATTTTAAGTTGATTTCCCAAAAAACATTCAGAAGCAGTTGCTTCAGATTTTTTTGTCACTGTTTCATTATTATTATTTACTTAAGGGAAATGATGTATCATTGTTTTGGTTGTTTTCTCACCCACTTATACTTACTATCAATTCCATCACACTCATTTTCCCTCCACACTGCAATTACCACTGTATCACAACACTAATTACACCTCTAAGGCTCAATTTCAGATGAGCCTCTAATTTGACCACACAATGCTGGAAGAAACACAGCCCTCTCAAAGTTATTTTGTTTGACCGTAAGTTCCAAATTTCCACAACATTCAGGGAGAAAAAAAGAATATACAAAGCATAGAACATTTATTTTTTAATTTGTAATAAATGTGAGAGAACAGACTCAAGTGACTTTTACTATCTACTCAATGCCTTACCATAAAAAAGAGTACATATATGTACCTACAGTAACAAACTTAGTGCTTACTTCTTTGCAAGAGCTCTTCTTTCTTCTGGTGTATAATCTAGAGATCCTATTGCTCCTTCACCTTTGGTTGGCATAAATCCAATGATTGCTAGTAAAGCTGTTCTTACTAAAATGGGAAAACAGAGATACAAACAAGGTTACAGAAAAAAAACGTTCTTTGATCTCACTTTACACTCAGCATACAAAAGTTGCAGTTTGGCCTGCAAAACTTCATTTTGTCCAAGGGAGTAGTCTGAATTTCATAAAAGCAGCACTGAGTTTTTCGGTACACAGCAAGACCTTCTTAATTTCTTAAACTTCACATTATATAGGAAACATAAGGCCTTGTTTTTCTATCAGACAACACAGAGAAGATAAATTGTCATAAAAATGTTACACCAATATAGAGTTACAGACTTTAAAAATGGGTTCTGAAGAAAAAAA